GCAAGTATATAAGCAAGTATGTAACCAAGTATATAAGCAAGTATATAAGCGAGTATATAAGTAAGTATTTAGCAAGAATATAAACAAGTGTATAAGAAAATATATAAACAAGTATATAAGCAAGTATTTAAGCGAGTATATAAGCAAGTATATAAGTAAGTATATAAGCAAGTGTATAAGCAAGTATGTTTATAAGTATATAAGCAGGTATATAAGTAAGTATATAAGAAAGTATATTGGCAAATATATAAGTATATAAGCAAGTATATTAGAAAGTATATAATTAAGTATATAAGCAAGTACATAAGTATATTAGCAAGTATATAAACAAGTATATAAGCAAGTATGGAACCAAGTATATAACCAAGTATATAATCAAGTATATAAGAAGAGATATATGATAGTATATAAGCAAGTATGTAAGCAAGTATATAACGAAGTATATCAGCAAGTATATCAGCAAGTATATAAGCAAGTATATAAGCGAGTATGTAAGAAGGTATATAATCAAGTATATAAGAAAGTATATACGCAAGTATATTAGTTAGTGTATAAGTAAGTATATAAGCAAGTATTTAAGTAAGTATATAAGCAGGTATATAAGCAAGTAAGCAAATATATAAGAAAGTATATAATCAAGTATTTAAGCAAGTATACTTCTTAAATACTTGCTTATATACTTACTTATATACTTGTATACTTACTTATTTACTTGCGTATACACTTTCTTATATACTTGTTTATATATTTGCTAATATACTTACATATGTACTTGCTTATATACTTAATTGTATACTTTCTTACATTCTTGCTCATTTACTTGGTTATATACTTGCTTAAATACTTGCTTATATACTTACTTATATATTTGCTTATATACTTACTTATGTACTTGCGTATATACTTTCGTATTACTTTCTTATATACTTGTTTATATATTTTATTATATACTTGTTTATATACTTGCTAATAAACTTACTTATGTACTTGCTTATAAACCTGCTTATATATTTATAAATATACTTTGCTTATATACTTGCTTATATACTTGGTTATATACTTGCTTACATAATTGCTTATTTACAATCTTATACACTTGCGTATATAAGTGAGTATATAAGCAAGCATATAAGTAAGTATATAAGCAAGTATATACGCAAGTATTAAGAAAGTATATAAGTAAGTATATAAGCAAGTATATAAGCAAGTATATAAGATAGTATATAAGCAAGTATGTAAGCAAGTATATAAGTAAGTATATAAGTAAGTATATAAGCAAGCATGTATTCAAGTATATAAGCAAGCATATATTCAAGTATAAAAGCAAGTATATGAGTAAGTATATTAGCAAGTATAAAAACAAGTATATAAGAAAATATATAAACAGGTATATAAGTAAGTATATAAGTAAGTATATAAGGAAGTAAATAAGCAAGTATATAAGCAAATATATAACCAAGTAAATAAGCAAATATATAAGCAAGTATATAAGAAAGTATATAATCAAGTATATAAGCAAGTACATATGTAAGTATATAAAAAGGTATATAAGAAAGTATATACGCAAGTATATAAGCAAGTATACAAGTAAGTATATAAGCCAGTATTTAAGTAATATAAGCAAGTATTAGGTAAGAATATAAGCAAATATATAAAAAGTATATAAGAAAGTATATACGCAAGTATATAATCAAGTATACAAATAAGTATATAACCAAGTATTAAAGTAAGTTTATAAGCAAGTAATTAAGTAAGTATATAAGCAATTATGTAAGCAAGTATTTATGTAAGTATATAAACAAATATATAAGTAAGTAAATAAGCAAGTATATAAGCAAATATTTAAGTAAGTATATAAGAAAGTATATAAGTACATAAGAAAGTGTATAAGCAAGTATATAAGCAAGTATGTAACCAAATATATAAGCAAGTATATAAGCGAGTATATAAGAAGGTAGATAATCAAGTATATAATCAAGTATATAAATAAGTATATAAACAAGTATATAAACAAGTATATAAGAAAGTATATAAGCAAGTATAATAAGCAAGTGTATTAGCAAGTATATAAACAAGTATATAAGAAAGTATATACGCAAATATATAAGCAAGTATACATGTAAGTATATACGTATATAAGCAACTATATAAGCAAGTATGTAAGATAATATATAAGCATTTATGTAAGCAAGTATATAACCAAGTATATAAGCATGTATTTAAGTAAGTATATAAGCAAGTATATAAGTAAGTATACAAGCAAGTATACAACATGTAACATAATTAACGCACTTTGAGAAAGTAGTTTGTTCAGAATCGTTTATTTTTCCTATCATTTTTAATATAGGTAATTTTTTATCCCAAAAATAATTAAAACTACGTAAATTACAGTCACACTAAATCTGTACAGTCAAAACAAACTGAAATGGACCGTGACTTAAGGCAATAAGACTTTTAAGAGTGCAGTTTTATTTGTATTATTACTAATTCTGTCATTCAATAAACATAAAGAAAAATGAACTTTATTTCAAGCACGTTAAAGTCTTTGCGTTCGTGGATTTGTACTGTGACCACAACATTCTTCCGGAATTTGTACAACTTATTTGATAAATAATCAGTGCAAAAACATGTTTAACTAAAAATTCAGTGTATTTATTATGATTATAACATAATATACTAATTGGGGTGTCTGAGGGTGTGCGTTAATTACGTTACATATTGTATATGCAAGTGTATTAGCAAGTGTATAAACAAGTATATAAGAAAGTATATACGCAAGTATATAAGCAAGTATAAGCAAGTGTATTAGCAAGTATATAAACAAGTATATAAGAAAGTATATACGCAAGTATATAAGCAAGTATACATATAAGTATATATGTAAGTATATAAGCAAGTATGTAAGATAATATATAAGCAATTATGTAAGCAAGTATATAACCAAGTATATAGGCAAGTATATAATCAAGTATATAAGCAAGTATATAAGTAAGTATTTAGCAAGAATATAAAGAAGTGTATAAGAAAATATATAAACAAGTATATAAGCAAGTATTTAAGCGAGTATATAAGCAAGTATATAAGTAAGTATATAAGCAAGTGTGTAATCAAGTATGTTTATAAGTATATAAGCAGGTATATAAGTAAGTATATAAGAAAGTATATTGGCAAATATATAAGCAAGTACATAAGTATATTAGCAAGTATATGAACAAGTATATAAGCAAGTATGGAACCAAGTATATAACCAAGTATATAATCAAGTATATAAGCGAGTATATATGATAGTATATAAGCAAGTATGTAAGCAAGTATATAACGAAGTATATCAGCAAGTATATCAGCAAGTATTTAAGCAAGTATATAAGCGAGTATATAAGAAGGTAGATAATCAAGTATATAAGAAAGTATATACGCAAGTATATAAGTTAGTGTATATGTAAGTATATAAGCAAGTATAAATGCAAGTATTTAAGCAAATATATAAATAAGTATATATTTAAGTATATAAGTAAGTATATAAGCGAGTATATAAACAAGTATATAAGCACGTATATCAGTAAGTATATAATTATTTAAGCAAGTATATAAGTAAGTACATTAGTAAATATATAAGCAAGTTTAAAAGCATGCATATATGTAAGTATATTAGCAAGTATATCGATAGTATATAAGCAAGTATATTAAGCAAGTATATAAGATAGTATAAAAGCAAGTATATAAGCAATTATATAAGCAAGTATATCATCAAGTATATAAGCAAGTATATAATGAAGTATAAAAGCAAGTATCTAAGAAAGTATATAAGAATGTATATAAGCTAGAATATAAGCGCGTATATAAGCAAGTATATAAGTAAGTATATAAGCAACTATATAGGCAAGTATTTAAGCAAATATATAGTCAAGTATATAAGCAAATATTTAAGGGAGTATATAAGCAAGTATATAAGTAAGTATATAAGCAAGTGTATAAGATAGTATATAAGCAATTATGTAAGCAAGTATATAACCAAGTATATAAGCACGTATATCAGTAAGTATATAAGTATTTAAGCAAGTATATAAGTAAGTACATTAGTAAGTATATAAGCAAGTTTAAAAGCATGATATTCCCTGCCCTAATTGTTGCTGTACGTCCTCGACTCTTTTGTCTAGAGTCCTGGTGCTCTCAGAAACAGCAGCCGAAATCTCAGGGTTTAGTTTTGGCACTTGTAATAACGAGCAATTTTCCGGTATGAGGTACTCTTTGAGAGTTTCTCTTTCGCCTCTTTATGCATACCTTTTCGAAGTATAGGTAGCCATAACTGAACTAACTTGTCATGGAGTTTCGGGTCCAACTTCGATGTCTCTTCCGTGGTCTCACCTAAGGCAGTAAGGATTTCTGTTTCTTACACTACCGGTTCTTGGTCAGAGTCATATTTTGTCTCCTCATTATTTACAACACTATTTTTGCCGCTTGGATTCTCTGAAGTCAAGGGTTCTATATCAGCGTTATCAAGGTTTTCATTATCTAAAACAATAATTAATGTTATTGAAGGTAGACATAAGAACCAAAGGCAAATAAATTAATGCTCGAAAATTAACATTTAATCTACTGGCCACGTGTAAACATAGGTCATTAATTTTAATACATTATTTTATATTATCTCAATATAATTTTATATACGATATTATATTCGAATATTAATATACGAATATTATAACATTATTTTATAAAAATAGCTGTAAAATCGTTTCTCGAACGAACGTTTATTCTCAATTAAGAATCAAAATGGAGATGCGTTATCACCTCTGAGGACTGAGACGGAATGTCTCGCTTCCAGGAGGTCTCCGGTTTTCTTCACTCACCATTCGATGCGTGCAAAATACTGCTGCATTAAGCTGATATTTGACACTGTCTATACAAGCCTGGTCTTACTCCGGTCGAGCTGACTCAACCATTCGTGTTACAACCATAATATATATGTAGCCTGACTCTACCTTGTTTAACACTTGTAGGTTCGTTCTGAAGCCTCAGCGTGAGGGCGGGGGCAACAATCTGTACGGCGCGGAAGTGCGCGAGGCGCTGCTGCGCATGCGCCACAGCCGCGAGCGCGCAGCCTACATACTCATGGAGCGCATACTGCCGCCGCTGGTGAGATTCTCACTACTGACACGCTCCCCCCCACCTCACCGCAACGAGCTGGGGATTCATTAAGCACATACTGTCACCGCTGGTGAGACTCTACCACTGACGCGCTCCCTCCACCTCCCCACATCGAGATAAAGACTCATGGAGCGCATACTGCCGCCGCTTGTGAGATTCTCACTACTGACACGCTCCCCCCACCTTACCGCAACGAGCTGGGGATTCATTAAGCACATACTGTCACCGCTGGTGGGACTCCACCACTGACGCGCTCCCTCCACCTCCCCACATCGAGATAAAGACTCATGGGGCGCATACTGCCGCCGCTGGTGAGATTCTCACTACTGACACGCTCCCCCCACCTTTCCACATCGAGCTAGGGACTCATGGAGCGCATACTGCCGCCGCTGGTGAGATTCTCACTACTGACACGCTTCCCCCACCTTTCCACATCGAGCTAGGGACTCATGGAGCGCATACTGGCGCCGCTGGTGAGATTCTCACTACTGACAGCCTCCCCACACCTTTCCACATCGAGCTTAAGACTCATGGAGCGCATACTGCCGCCGCTGGTAAGATTCTCACTACTGACACGCTGTCCCCACCTCCCCTCATGGAGCGCATAATGCCACCAGTGGTGAGACTCCCACCACTGACACGCTTCAGCCACCTCCCCACACCGCACCAGGGACTCATGGAGCGGATGAATACAATTTCAAGTACACAAAAATATTGTAGATCAGAGACAAAAGTAAAAAAATAATAATATGCATACGTATTTATTTAAGTACACAGCCTTTCCAAGTGTATCCAATCTGACAAGCAGTCTATTTCACCAACTATCGATAATCTATCAAAGAAAAAAGGTTAGCGTACTCTCATTTACTTTTCAGTACAGATAATTTTTATTATGTTTATATATAAAAGTTTGTCCGTGATGTATTCCTCAACTACTAACCTGTAATCAGTGAAATTTTTACACTCTGCAGTTTGGTCCAAGTTGGGAGATAGGAAAGATTTTATTCCGATGTTGACCCTCAATATTTTTAGTAGTCCTATTAAAAATCATTACGGATGTAATGATGTTTAATAGGACTAAAGGTATATAAAATGTATTAATTATTCGATATGTGGCGCTACTTATCCGGTTCAGAATTTGTATATTTTCATTATTAACACCAACACACATTGCCAATTTAAGGATCATTTCGGTAAATAAATAAAGAATTTGTAAAAAAATTCACTACTGTGCCTGCTATAGGATCCTAGCAAAGCAACAAACTATAGTCTCGACTAAACAAATCTATTATGTCCTGTCTCAGGTTTCAGGCTACGTGGTACGTCCAGGCGGTCCGGTGCCGCCTCCCTTAAGTGACCTTGTTTCTGAGCTGGGAATCTTTGGAGTTATTATTGGGTGAGTTAGTCTATCAAACCAGTTTTTATTTTCTTAATACAATATTTTCATCATCATCATTACAGACCCTCAAAAGTCAACTATATTTTACATGTAACATCATCATCATTATGACAGCTTATAAAATAATATACTGTTGAACATAGAGTTCCTCCATAGATTGTCTCTGTAAATCTCTCTGGATATTTAACAAAGTTGACATGCTTGGCTATTGAAGTTGTTTTTATTGTTTTGAGTTATTTTATCAGATAAATGCTTCTCTATCTGTTCTAATCTGTTCTAGTCTCACTCCGTCGCTCAAAACACCTACAAGATTATATAGAATATATTAAAAATGTTTATGTTAATTTTCCATTAACATTTTTGTTTGTGCCTATTTCGGTAGGCTACCTATTTCTGCACCCAATTCTGTATTCGTGTATGAAGGGTAATATAGTCTACAACATTAATTATAGGTACTATTTAATACTCTGGTGCGATCTATTCTTGAATATTGTTCTTCATGTTGGAATCCTCAATACAAAGTTTATGTTAAAATGATTGAAACAATCAATAATAAGTTTCTGCGTCACTTAAAGCGATATAATTCTTCTGTAGACTCCATTATTGATAGCTTACACAGTTATACACTCGAAAAACGCCATGACATGACATAAGAGATCAAATATTGTTGTACAAATTGCTACATAATATCATCGACTCCCCCCTACTTTTAAGCAAAGTGAATCTTGCGTCACCGGTTAGGTGCACGAAATAAGCCTCTTTTTGCATTACGTAAAGTAAAAACGAAGTATGCTTCAAATAATTTTGTATCTTGTACATGTAAAAATTTTAACTTAAAATATTGTGAACTAGATATTTTTCACCTTGAATATAATAGTTATAAAAAAATTATGTAAAATTTAATTTATAATTGGTAGCTTCACTATAGGTTGTTTGTATGGTATTACTTTTAACTGCTTAGTACTTAATGTTTAATTATAAATACAATTTAGTTTTTTTTTTTAATCTTTAAACGTATTGTGGTTGCAAACTTTTAATATGTATTAGATACCTGTGGAAACTTCATTGGTTTTAGGATTTTAGGTTTCCGTTAAAAAGCAAATAAATAAATAAAATATAGGCTCTGAGATATTCCATCTTAGTCCTCAGGGGTGACAACGCATCTGTAGTCTTCATTGTTAGAAATAGAAACGTTTTTATTCAATATAGATGATATATAATATTCCTTTCTGTATAAATATAGTATTATAATAGTCTTTGTATATTAATAAAGTAATGATATTTTATTTTATATTACATAATAATAATAATAATATTTTATGTGCATAAAACATGATTCAAGAAAGATTTTACTTTTATTGAACGTCACTGTTTTGTTTATTTTGCCACTGGTTCCGAAAAAACCTCTGTCCTGAGAAGAACTAGCAGAAAACTCAGCGGTACTTCTTTTTTTTTTTGAAAAAAAAATATAACTTACAATCATATATAATATTTACACAATTGACAACACAACAAATTAAAAATAGCTTGGTAGCGATCAACTCGTTGAAAGTTGGTTACATTATCTAGAGTAACTATGGACTAAATAAGTGATTTTCTATATTTTAGGACAAAAGATAAAATCTACTGCAATCGCCAAGTTGGTCACATGCTGAGGACCAAACTTGCAGACGCCAACGAGGGCGGAGTCGCCGCCGGCCTGGGGGCTTTGGACTCGCCATACATGCTAGATTTGTAGCCACAACTTATCCAGTTAGAACACATAAATCCCTTAAATTAATTTGTCAGTTTAAAATACGTCTATTTGATTTTAAGCTGTCAAACTAATTTAAAAATATCCTAGGGAAAGTAAATTTTATATAAATTTATTTAAATTTCAATTAGATTCGTATAAAAAGACGCTAGACTTGAAATTAGAAAATTGCAGGATTTTTTTATTTATTGTTTGAAAATGTATCATGAATTTTGCGTTCAAATTATGTGGTTCAATAATTTAAGAAAGCAATTATTTAAAAATTAAACATTTTAAACGAAAATTTTAATAAGTTTCTATTTTAAATTATGTTTTGCATTATAGCTAAACCAATCTAGTACTGGTACTACTTTTAAGACAAAACCAATAAATTATAATAAAACAATGCAAATAACTCACTAATCTTGCCCTTGTCACTAATATGTTTACACTAATTTTTTATCGGTTTATCTCTAGTCTATTATATTTTACATTTTAACAGTTACATTAAAAAGTAAAAAATTATAATTTATATTTTTTATTTCCTTTATTGAATTATTATTTCCATATAAATAAAGTGCGAAATTAAATGTTTTTAATTATATTAAACACGTAAATAGTAAAAAGTGGGATCAACCAAGTTGACTTTCTAGAATTATCGACGCTAATACTTTAATTCTTTAACAAGCAATAGAAAATTATTTGTTAATATTCCAAGTTGGTTTTTCATATCCTTACATTGTCATCTAATTCTGACCTATGTTCAAAATTTCAAGTAAAGCTCATTGGAAAATTAATTTAAAATCGGTTTCTTTTTTAATACTTTGATACTAACATTAACATTGTAGAAAGTTAACTTTTTTACCACGCAAATCAGACTGTCAGCGAAAATGTTATTCTTTTTATTGAACGTTTTTAGGTATGTATATATCTTTTTACTTGAGTCTGTAGGTCTTCAATTGTATTTACGTTTCTTTACACTTTTAAGAATTTTTTAGGTGGTATTTTAACTAAAAATCCGCAGGGTCGAACATAAAAAAATAACAAATATTACTAATAACGATTAAAAAAAGCAACAGAAATGAAGTAAAAGCAATAAATAGATTAGGTAGTGATACTTGTGAAACATATAATACACCCATAATTTTTGCATGGTGCGTAAAGGAAAGAGGCGCTGCCATTTTGGATTTTTTATTTATTAGCGTGATTTTTATTTACGTGACTATTACATTTATTGTTTGTCTATTCGACCGTAATGGACCTTGGTATTGAATATAACAAAAATTTGTTTGTTAATGTAATAATTTTAGTTCTTACATCTTGTAATCGCTACGGTTCACGCGAAAATCTGGCGATTCTAAATTAAAATGTGAAACTAGGCACAAAATATTTTTAATGTTTAATTTTTTTAACAATTTATAAACTATAACAAAATATAAGACCCCGTTTACATTTTGAGAAGTGACAAGTGCGAGTGGCAAGTTAAACTGACAAATCACAAGTGCTTAGTGCGTGTCAACAGGCAGTGATAAGTGTGAATAAAATTCGCACTAATCACATTTCATTTATCAGTTAAACTTGCCACTCGCAATTGCCATTGTCACTTGTCAAAATGTAAACCGGACCTAACGCCATCTTGTTCGTAATTGGTTAGTTGTTATTAGTTACAATTTTATTTTATTTATAAATAATGTTTCTTTTTAGTCTAATGTTACAATAAATTTGATTGTGTAATTATTGTGTATTGTGTTTGTTATCTGTAATAATTAAATTTATATTTATTTACATTCCATTTATGGTTATACCTAATTAGTATAGACATCGGCATGAGTTGTGAACGCTGGACAATTTTACTGGGGTGATATTCTTGCAAATTCGTATTTTAACCAATCGATTTTGAAATATAATGGTGTTTGCACCATTCGGCGAACTAACAATGAATTAATCTAAGAGATATGTATCACCGCCAAAGCAAGCCTAAAACATCAAACAACTATTAATAAAAAAAATTAAACTGATACGTCGTCTTTGTTAAAAATTATTATACTTTTACTTACTAACCGGTTTTAAACTGTGTACTTCTAAAATTATTGTGATTGTGACAGTGGTGCTGTATAATGTTTGGTATACCATGATTGTTTTTGATACTTTCTCAAAAATAAAATAAAATAATGGAAATACTGTTGTTTTATTAATTACAATCCTTTAAAGCTCGTAATGCAATCCCCCAAACCTACTATACGATGAGATGAAGGTAGAAAAATTCAGGACAAGGTAACGGAAACAAAGGAGCCAGCAGCTAGTCGACTTCATGGAGAAAGAGGGTCTATGATGAACTCTTTCTTCCAGAAGTGGACCCAAAGAAAGTGGACCTGGTTGAGACAAGATAGTTTGACAAATCTTCTTTTAAAAAATAGTTACTTCCACACTAGTATTTTCTCCTGTATCGTGGGGGCAGTTCACAAACATAAATTTCACAAGGACAAACATCCAGACCCGGAGCAATTACTTTGTAGGCCATACAAATACTTGTACCGTGCGGGATTCGAACCAGCGGCCTTTAGCGCTATAACTCATTGCTAAGCCACTGCGTATTTTATTATATAGCAACTGTTCAGTGATCGAATCTCGGTGATTGCAAGGGTGAAAACTGGCAGCGTTCACCAAATGATGATGGCCACACTGAACCTAAACGTTAGATTGGAGAGGTCACGCCTAATGAAGTCAATTCTCCGTCCCTCTCGAGCTCTCAACCAAAGAAAGCCCCAAAAACTTTCTACTCTTATTACAAAATCGTTTTAGTGCCTAGAAGGCTGCAATATATTGGACTATTATAGTGTTAAGCTCGTGGAAACATGCGGTTGGAGGTATGTTCTTCAATAATTGTAGAAAAACCCAAAAACTCCGATCACACTCTTTAATCTCATGATTGTTAGAATGTGAAGCAGCAGTCTTAAGCAGAGAGATCTCCAAATGCACGCAGCGGGACTTACGCAACTTCAATACAGCTCGTATTGAAGAAACGAAAACGTCGTCTCGCACGCAGCCTCTACTATTTCCAGCCTATCGAACAGGTCCATTTTCGAAAAGGCATATTTAGTATTTCACATTTAGTACCATAGACGACATGCATATCATTCGGCAAATTTTACATTAAACCGAAGAGTACAAGCTGCCATTTTGCATTACGTATGTGGACTATGAGAAAGAGGATTGGTGATTGCAGTGCCTAACGTATCGCACCTTTGACGCTGCACCTATCAGAAATCCTCAGATATTTTTGGCGTAATACCCTTGGGATGAAATGGGGTGGTTACTCTCTTACGGTAAACAAAACAAGTTAAGAGAAACATATATAATAGAAGTAAGGAACGATGAATGTGTAGCCACCATAGTAAAACAAGAATAGTAGGGTTACTTCTAGGAAATGTACTGAAGGCCGCTAATATGTGTACGTGCCAGTACGGACTCGTACATACGAGCCACTCGCAAAAAACCGCCGATCGTGGAGGATTTCCGTTAAGGTTACTGCGTCTACAATAGATGCAATTGCACCCCAACTATCTATTATTTTTAATACTAGTATCGAATTTGGTGTGTTCCTGATTTAATGAAGCATAGTAAAATAATAACTTTATTTAATTACTGGCAGTACATTGGCCCCGCTAATTTAAGACCTATTTCTGTACTGCCAACAATTAGTAAAATTTTTGAAAAAATTATTCTTGATCAAATGTTAAATTTTTTTAATGTAAATAATTTACTTCATAAAATTTAATTCAGTTTCACAAGAGGTCGCTCGACAACTGATGCTAGTATTGAGCTTATTAAATATATCTTTAATGCATGGGAGAATTCACAGGATGCTTTGGGTATATTCTGTGACCTATCCAAGGCCTTCGATTGTGTTCACCATCAAACATTAATCAGGAAACTTCAACACTACGGTGTAAAAAGTTTTGCTCTTAAATTAATTATTTCGTATTTAAGTGACAGAACGCAAAAAGTTGTCATTAATAGTATGAGTTCTTCCAAGTCGATTGTACAAATGGGCGTGCCTCAGGGCTGAATTCTCGGCTCTTTTCTGTTTCTTGTATATATTAATGACTTACCTTACATAGTAGGGGATAACCACGATATAGTATGATTTGACTGCCTCGTTGGTCTAGTGGTTGTAGTAGTACGACTGCTGATCATGAGGTCCTGGGTTCGAATCCCGGGTCGGGCCTAAAAATCAAATATTGGGTTTTTCTGTCAAGAAATTCCCAGTAGCTGCCCGGAGTCAGGAAGTTGGCGGTGTCTCAACCCCGTGCCTCGGAAAGCACGTAAAGCCGTTGGTCCTGCGCCTGATCTCTCTCCGGTCGTGTCGGTTTATGTTCCATCGGATTATGAGAGTGGGGGGAATAGAGAGTGCACCTGTGCTTGCGCATACACTTGAGCACTATAATCCTGTCCTGCGCCGATGGCTATCCTCCGTTGAGGCTGGCCGCCGTGACCGAAATTCGGTCTGAAGGACATTATTATTATTAGTATTATTTGCTGATGATACTTCATTAATTTTCAAATTAAAACGACAGTTATTAAATTACGACGAAGTAAATAATGCTATAGCTAAGTTAGTCAATTGGTTTAATGTTAATAATTTGCATTTAAATGGAACTAAAACTAAATGTATGAAATTCGTAACTCGTAATGTCAAACATGTCAATACTAATGTAATTTTAAATGGGGAAGAACTGAGTCTTGTTGATACCAACATTTTTCTTGGAATCACACTATACGCAAAGCTTCAATGGCTCCCCCATATATCAAAACTAGCTAGCAGACTTAGTTCTGCAGCATATGCCGTAAAAAAGATCAGAACTCTTGCCAGTGTTGAAACATCTAGAACAGTTTACTTTAGTTATTTCCATAACATTATGTCATATGGTATTTTGCTATGGGGACACGCGACTGACACTGAAAATATATTTATTTTACAGAAGAGGGCCATTAGAGCAATATAT